ATTGAATCTTTGTTTGGTAATTTATTTGAGTAGAGGCCGAATTTAAACCGCTAACCCTGTGATTAATTTCCGATTTTGACAGGTGCATCTTATTACACAATTCTTGGGTTATAAAATTAGACTGAGAGCCGCTGTCCAATAAGGCTCTGCATTCATGAGTGTTACCAAATCTATCACGTAATTTAACCAAAATCGTAGAAAGTAATACATGCGTATTTGTTTGAACATTGAAAGCTTGATGAAATGAATTACTAGTGTTTGTTGAAACTAAATTCGAGGTAGGTTCATGATTGGCACTACTTGATTCTGGATTGATGTCATGTAAATATCGTGTACCTGTTCGATCTGTGTGTAAACAAGTATTGTGCCTGCGACCACATTTTCTACAGTTACTAGATTTACAATCGATAGATTTATGACCTGGCTTAAGGCAATTAATACAAAGCCCCTTAGCTTTGACAAACTCCAGGCGATTTGCTGGCGCCAAATGTATTAGTTCTTTGCAATTGTAAGTAGGATGAGTACCCTTACAGATGGTACATGTTGTATTTGAGACGTAAAAATTCTTAGAGGTAGTTTTAATGGATTTAAAGTTATTTTTATTAGGGGTAGATTTATGACCTAAAGAATCTAGCAAATCGCACTTGTTGAGTAAGAATGTTTTTAAGTCATTAATTGTAGTTGCAGGTCGCTCTGCTTTGTATTCTTCCCAAGCCCTAAATGTTTTTTCATCGAATTTACGAGAAATGAGATAGACCACTAATGTGTCCCAGTGTTCAGTAGGCTGACCTAATAATTTTAACGCACGCAGATTTTTATTCATGCCATCAAGAACCTTTCTTAATAAATAGGCTGATTCATTTTGAGGAGGTTGCAAATTACAAAGAGCTTCTACGTGTGAATCAATGAGACGCCTATTATTATTAAAGCGATCGCAGATTAAATCCCAAGCAAGGGTATAATTATCAGCTGTAAACGCTATACCTTCTATTATTTCCTTAGGTGTTTTTAAAACTGATGATTTTAAATAGTGGAATTTTTCAATGGGATCTAGTTTAGAATTATTATTAATTAATGAGTTAAAGGTTTCACGATACTCTAACCAGTCTAGCAAAGTACCGTCGAATATAGGCAATGGAATCGTTGGCAATTTTAAGAAACTTGACCGCGTACTACTTAGATCAAATACGTTTGAGCCCGGCGGTTCGCCGTTGCTACTGCTATCACTAGGTAAAATTTGTTTGGGACTATGTACGAGAACGATTTCTTGTGATCGGCTATATAAATCAAGGTAAGTGCTATCGATATCGGCTCGATACGCATATTGCTCGGGGAGGTTATCGTCCTCAATTACTAATTGCTCAATTTCATCCTGAATTTGTTCAAACTCTGAAAATGCCGTTGTTATGCGCTTTAATGTTTCTTTAACAGCGGCTATAGTGCCTTCCGATAACGCGATGCTACCTGTATCAGTAGCAGTAGAAATTCTATTTTTCAGTTCATCTTCCACTGATTTTAAATATTTCGAAAAGTTCGTAAATTTAGTTTTGAGACTACCGCGTTTTCGCGTTAAGTTACTTAACTCTGACATGTTGATTGCGAATCAATACTGACTTATGTAAAGGAAAATAGTATGTAAAGGAAGGTACTCACTTTCTGACTCGTATGGGATATCCTATACGACGATGATGTTTTATTCCAATGCGTATGTGTAGATGCAGTGCTGCACTTAGCACTCGATGTGTATTCCACGTATGATGCGAAATGAACGTACGCTGCACTTAGCACTCGATGTTTATGATGTATTTTACGTATTATACGAAATGAATGTTTGCTGCACTTAGCACTCGATATGTATGATGTATTCCACGTTTGATACGAAATTAATGTTTGCTGCACTTAGCACTCGATATGTATGATGTATTCCACGTATGATGCGAAATGAATGTACGCTGCACTTAGCACTCGATATGTATGATGTATTCCACGTTTGATACGAAATGAATGTTTGCTGCACTTAGCACTCGATATGTATGATGTATTCCACGTTTGATACGAAATGAATGTTTGCTGCACTTAGCACTCGATATGTATGATGTATTCCACGTTTGATACGAAATAAATGTTCGCTGCACTTAAAACTCGTTGTGTATGTATGCGAAGTTTGCTTTGGATATGTATGTATCCGGTTTGCTTTGGATATGTATATATCCGGCTCGAAGGACCAATGTAAAGTTGTTTGTTTTGTGATGCTTAGTAGAAAGGAATTGAACACGAAGTATGTAAACTTAACTCTTTATTCAGTTAACTGCTGAATAATACAATGACTTAAATGGTAGCTTAATTATTTAACAATATTCCTTTCTAGAGCGGCTGTACTAGCCTGACTGACTATTTTAAAAGAAGTCATCCCTCGGTAAGCCCTTGGGGGAGGAGCTTTAAGTGGCGCATGCCGCTTGAGGCGCTTAAGGCACTTATATTGAAAATTTACAAACATAACTTCTAGTCCTTTAATGCGATATAACAATTATTGTAATTTCGAATATCTCGGAAACGGTTTATTTTATCGAAGTTTGAGAGGTACACCTTTTTAATAGTAGCGGCTACTATTTTTCGATTAATCAGTTAGGCTACTAAGTAGCCTAACTGATTAATCGAAAAATTGCATCAAATGGTATAAAAACCTAACCTCAAAGTTTGTATGGGAGAATAAGCCAAAGCAACCCCTGTTTCTACGACACTGTGTTCACTTGAACAATTGTAATTATGTGTGAATATGTGTTTTGGTAGTAAGTGACTGTTCGCAAAATATCACCTTTCCAAGTCTACCACAGTAGAAGTTGTATTAAAAAAACTGATATGATAAGTAACACTTTATCACCCTGTATCTTTTAAACATAGGTAATTAGGAAAAATATTTATTTAGATTTTCGTCTTATTTTGACTTGCTTAATCTGCTCCTAAATTTATGACACTATATATATATTTATATACATAAAAAAAATGGATTTTTACACGAGGGCAATACAGCCCCAGGCACCCGTTGTAAATTAAATTTATTAGAGGTAGAGAAATCTTAATTTTTCGATTACCAACAATTTAATATTTTATGATTGCAGCATACTTATTTCTAAGTATTTAATAAAATGTTTACATTATTATTAAATGTCATTATAAATTATTACTTTTAAGAAATGTTTATGAAATACAATATTATATTATTAAATTTGCGCAATAATTATTGCCGTGCCGATCATTTGAAGTAAAATCTACTTAAATTTATTAAAATGTTCTGAAATGGTTGTAGTTCACTTAAATTAATATAAACATTTCTAATGACTATTATAATCTTCACACATCGCACATCTTTACTTTTAACTTGTTCAATGTAAGGTGGCAATTTTTACTTACTTATTATACAAATAAAAACAATATCATTGCAAAAAAATTGTCATCATCCATTAGTTTTAAACTGACATTGAGTAAAAAAGAATCAATTAAATTTTGACTCGAATACTGGTTACAGACCAGAGTGACATAAGAGAGGGAAGACCATTAAATGAATAATTTTACCAAAAGAAACCAAAGAATAACGGTAACAGACATTTGAAGTCATTTCTTTTACCGGAGGGTAGTTTCGACAAGTTCCTACCATAGGAAGGAGCTTACATTCATCAAATCCAAGGGCAAGAAGACATTTAAGAGTGCATAGACTTACCCCAATATAGAGCTGCACGTCGTTAATGGGCTCAAGAGTAAAGGAATTGGCTTTTACCAAAATGGCGCAACGACCTTTCTGGATTATGTTGTGATATTGAGTCCAATGGCTCAGTTAACCCCTTCAGACCTGAACTATTTTACGACGATAAAAATAAATAAATGGCTCTTAAATCTATCGAATTAGGACCTAAATAACACATATTTGATGCTAAAAAATCTTAATTGTAAAATTTCAGGATAATTTCAGGATGTTCACATGTATGTACATCGAATGTTTTATACGCTTTAGGTGTGGATAATACCAAAATAGTTTTTACATGTCTTAGTACATACCTTTAGGAACAAACTACACCAGTTTATACTTAAAAAATATCTTTACAAATCATCTAAAGACCCGCTAAGACAAACTGTCGTCAACGAGTTGTTGCTGTCATTATGCGCATCTCCATTATATGAGAGAATTTTCAATTAAAAGGGGCAGTTTAAGTAAGAGAAGTCGCAAAATGTACCTTGGATTACCAAAACAAATGTACTTGGGGGTGAAAACTAGGTTCTAAATGAAATTTAATGCCTATTGATAGTAAATAAATTACTAAAAAGCTAATGTACATCGGAATGTACACCAGGTCTGAAGGGGTTAATAAAGGTTGGCGATGACAGTCATTAATTGTCATATGTGTCATAGACGTTTAATTCATAGTTCAATGTCTGTATTTGATACTGAATAAATATACTTATATATCATAATCATTGTGTTATCTAGAACCCAGTCCAAGCTCTCGCAATAACATAACATGGTGTCAGGTTCGTAAGAAGCACAAAGAGTAAAAAATATAAAAACAGTTAAGTCAAGTTTAAGTTGTCAAGTCAAGTACATAATGTCTGAAGTTAAAAATAATATTCCACCATTGGAGATGGAAGGAAGTTTATCAACAAATTGGGAAAAATGATCCCAAAGCTTTAAAATCTTTATGAGGGCAAGTGGATTTGAAACGAAGGAAGATAATCGTAAAGTGGCAATCTTTTTACACTGTATAGGCAGTAAAGCATTATCAATATTCAACTCATTTAACATAAACATGGATACATGCAAGTACGATGAAGTTTTGTCAAAGTATGAAGAACATTGCAAACCAAAAACAAAGTTAACAGTTTAACGTCATAAATTTTTGTCAAGGGTGCAAGGACAGGAAGAATCTATTGAAGATTTTGTCACAGCTATTAAAAATTTGAGTCTCTCATGTGAATTTAAAGAATTACGAGAAAGTCTTGTAGCAGACATGTTTATTGTTGGACTAAAATCAACAAATCGAGTAATAAAAGAAAAGTTATTGCTTGAAGATGGATTAACAATCGATAAAGCAGTCCAAATAGCACAATCCATTGAAATGACCCAGAGTCAAGCACAAATGCTTTCAAAATACGAAACAACAATCTGCGAGATCAGAAAGGCTCCAGGTAAAAGTTGGAGTAGTCATTCCAATAAAGCAGCAGGAAAAAGCAGCTATATGTCAGGCAGTAAAGCGCAGGTTGCAGTAGGTAAAAACTTCAAGAAGAAGGTCAGTAGCGATGAATGTAATAAATGTGGACAAATTCATAGATTTAAGTGTCCAGCTCAAAATGCTATTTGTGTAAATTGTAAAAAAATAGGTCATTATGCCAAATGTTGTTTCCAAAATAAAAATAAAAGTGTTAAATTGGTAAATTTTGAAAATGTTAGTACTAGTGACACAGAAAAGTTTTTCATAAGATCTGTTAATAAAAATTATTCTAAAGATAACAAAGATTCAAATTGGTTGTTAGATGTCAAAATAAATAATATAGTTAACAAATCTGTGGGTAAAAGGCATAAGGGGATAAGTCGACTTATCCCGAAATGTGTTTTTTTGCATTAATCTTATCTTAATGTCATAACACATATGCTAGCAAAAGCGTACAGGTCTACGTTTAAAAATTAATGTTTTATTGCCCGCTAAAAAATAAGATAAGTATACTTATCCGTCAAAAAACAGTTATTCTTTTTAATATTCGTTTTATGAGTCAGGCAAAAAGAGACAAGTATACATATCCACATATGAAATGTTAATGACATCGAGCATAACGGGTTATGTATACTTATCCCCTTATGCCTTTATGACATCAGAGTGCAAATGAGTATTTACAAAAGTATAAGTAAACTTAACCTATGACAGTTCTGTCAAAATCTGAAAAGGCAGATAAAATTATTAATTATATATTACTTATAAAATACAATAATGGATATAAGTTTCCGTGGGTTACAAATTCTTCGAAGGGAGCTTATGCAAGGTAATACTTAGAACATTTTAATAAAATCTATTGTACTTAATATAAAAACTCAATAATTCCAGGTAAATGTGAAAATAAAGATAACTTAACAGAATCTGATATTAATTTATGTTATGAGCAAGAAGATAACTGTAACAAAAATACAGGTAATACATACTAACATTTTGTTACATTTTTAATTTATGCCTATTGAATTTTAAGGGACCAATTGTTGCAAGGATATTACCAAACAATCCTTCTTATCTCAAGAGGTAAATGGCAACACAAGAGTGGTCCCTGTCCCAGAAGCAACCAGTAATACAGTTACATCTGTACAGAAAAACATAATTATAGAGGAATATTTAATTTTAAATGCAAATGAGATTCCTACCAGTCAAGATAGCATTCAAATTTTACAAATAAATGCAGGCAATGCAAATATTGAAGGTGATGTTATTATGAAAGATTACCTATCAGAAGATGAAATCTATACAAATGAAGAACTTGCGAATGAAAATATGAAAGAAAATCATACATCTCAGGTAGGCGCATCAATGGATGAAAATTATGATCCTTATAATGAACCGGCCGATAAAGCCGGAAATAAAAATATGAGAAAAATAGCTAGGAATACAGGCGAGAGGTATTCAACAAAAAGCGGTAAAATTATTAAAAAGAGAAAACTGGGACCATTAATAGCTTGTAGGATGAAGTGTAGGGAAAGGTTGGAGGAAGAAAATAGACTATCTATTTTTGAAGACTACTGGAAATTAAGTAGTCATGACAAAAGGGCTGGATTTGTAGCTGGTCTTATTGATGTGAAATCAAAAAGTCTCGAAAAGAAGAAGCAGCCTAACAAAACCCACAAAAATAGAGAGTGGACATACCTTTACAAATTTAACGTAAAAGGGGGCCAGGTGAGCGTTTGCAAAAACTGTTTTTTAAAAACATTGGACGAAACCCCCAAATTCATCGAAATTGTGATGAATTATAAGGTTAAGTCTATTTCCGGGGCTACTAATGCTGATATGCGAGGAAAACATGAACCAGGGAATAAAACTGAGGAAAACAAACTTGAAGTTGTAAGGCAACATATAGCATCCTTCCCGGCGTATGTTTCACATTATACCAGAAAACACACAAATAGAAAATATTTAGGTTCTGGTTTAAATTTAACCATCATGTATGATCTATATTGTCAATTTACTCAATCTCCAGTTTCTAAACCGATTTATATCAGAGAACTTAAAAAGACCGGTTTGAAGTTCAAAAAGCCTATGTTGGATACTTGCACCATCTGCGACACATTAAGCACAAGAATTCAAAATAGTGGCCCTGCAGAAAAAAATTACTATGAAAAAGAGCTATTTAGTCATCAAGAGATAGCTGACTATGCATATGAAGCAAAAAAAATTGATATTGAAAAGAGCAAAGAAAATAATGATATGATAGTTTGCACATTCGACCTGCAGCAAGTCCTGCCAACGCCTAAATTGTCAAGTGGAAATATGTTTTACAAAAGACAATTGAATACATATAATTTGACTGTACACAACTGCACAGACGGAAGTTCCTTTCATTTCATGTGGAACGAAACGGTTGCCAAAAGGGGTGCTAACGAAATTTCCTCATGTTTATATAGTTTTTTGAATAACCTGCCTCCACATGTATCTCATGTTATCTTATACTCAGATACATGTGGAGGACAAAATAAAAATTCAATTGTGATTTCTATGATGACTTACTTGATGCGAGATCATCCTTCACTAAAGGTGTTAGAGCATAAGTTTCTTATACCCGGTCACACTCACATGGAGTGTGACTGTGATCATGCACTCATAGAGAGAAAAGCAAAATCCAGTGAGATAAAAATTCAACATCCCAGGGACTGGTATCAGTTGGTAAGAACGGCAGGTAAAAAAAATAAATTTAATGTGATTATTATGGAACAGAAACATTTCTTTGATTTTGCTTTTCTTACATCCAAAAAAGCTCCTTTGCAAAAGAAAAAAAACGATGACATTGGAAACAAATTTGATTATAGAAAACTTAGATGGCTTAAATTTGAAAAAAAATTCGGGCTTGTTCACTACAAAACTACTTTAACTCAAGACGACGAGTTTAAATCAATAAATTTCAGAAAGACTGGTCAAATAGAATTTATCCTAACGGCTGCTTACAAGGAAATTTTGCCGATTAGTGATAAAAAAAAATAATATTTTGACCATCCTAGCTCAGTTAGACAATGATGTCCACGATTATTACAAAAATTTGCCAACAAAAGTCATGAGGGATGAAGATCCAGATTTGGACCGCCTTAATAGCGATAGAGAAGATTTATAGTAGTCTTTTTTACATAAGATTATCATTACCTAAAATTTATTACTTTATTTTATTATCCGAATATAGATATCACTTGTGTTACTACAATTTTATCTAAGTGTTAAAAATACTATTTAGTTATTTCCGTTATATTATTGTTAGTAATAAATCTATAATAGTTCACAGTTTGAATACATTTCTATTTTTTAATTCGATGTAGTTTAAATATTTAATAGGTAATTCATATACTTAAAAAAGTCGCTAAATTACAGGTTTGTGGAGATAAGCTTAAGTATACTTACTTCTTTTGGCCTGACCTATTATATTGAAATAATAAAAATAAAAAATAAAGCAAAAGGGGATAAGTCAACTTAAACTTTAAGCTTTTCACTTAATTGAGTTTTGAACTAAGTATGTTGGGATAAGTAATAATTTATGCTTTTTTTTCACATTTTTTGCTATAATTACTTTGTGTCTGTAATTCAAAACAATATTACTTTTAACAATTTTTCCAAATTTATACCTGCTAACCATAAACCATTTCCTGAATTAGTGCAAATACGTTTTAAGGCTCTACTGAAAAGTTGCGTTTTTTGACTTATCCCCTTTTGCCTTTTTACCACAGAAATGTAATATTGATACAGGCGCTGAAGCAAATGTCATGTCTTTTATAAATTTCAATAATTTGCATGTTAGCGATAATATTTTAAAAACCAATGTGAAGTTAACGTCATTTTCAGGTGATGAAATATCTACTAGGAAAAACAACACTTGATTGCATAATAAACAATGAAATGTTAAAAATTGAATTTATTATAGTAAAAATAAATTGTCAAACCATAATAGGTTTACCGACATGTAACAAGTTGGGCTTAGTCAAAAGAGTCTGTACAGTCAATTTTAAAACGATTTTAAATGACTATAATGAAATTTTTAAGGGTTTAGGATGTTTACCTGATGAATGTAACATCACTGTTGATAAAAATATAAGTCCTATTATAAATCCGTCACGTAAAATACCTTTTTCAATATTAGATCGATTAAAAAAGGAAATAGAAAGAATGTTAAAATTAGATGTCATAGTCAAAGTCAGTGAACCTAGTGAATGGGTGAGCTCAATTGTCATAGTTGAAAAGAAAGATAAATCTTTACGCGTTTGTCTTGATCCAAGGAACCTTAATAAAGCTATTAAACGTAGTCATTATCCAATACCTACAGTAGAGCAATTGCGTTCAAAATTGTCAGGCGCAAAGTATTTTTTTACTCTTGACGCACAGTCAGGTTTTTGGATGATAAAACTTAATGAATACAGCTCTAAATTGTGTACATTCGCAACGCCTTTTGGTCGATTCAGATTTTTGCGTTTACCTTATGGTATTTCGTGCGCACCTGAAATATTTCAAAAAACAATGTCAGAAATATTTGAGGATATACCCGGTGTATTGATTTATATAGATGATATACTCATTTATAGTGACAGTCTTGAAGGTCATAATACTATTTTAAAGTCAGTCTTAAAAAGGGCATGGGAAGTCAATTTAAGGTTTAATGCTAAAAAATGTAATTTTTTGTTACCAGAAATAAAGTATTTAGGTCACATTTTCAGTTCTAAGGGCATGTGTCCTGATCAAAAAAAAGTCAATGCTATATGTGATTTGCCAAAACCAAAATGTGTAGATTCTACCTCTTCAAGGTCATTTATAGTTCGTACACCAGAGGGTGTAGACTACAGACGAAACCGTCAGCACATACTAAAACCTAAAAATTCTCCAGTTGCTCAGAAACGTGAACAAAGTCCTAACTCTATTGACTTAATTAATTAAGCCCTGAGCAAACAAGTGTTAATAATAATTATACCACCAGAAGTGGTAGGCAGGTTATAAAACCAAGAAGGTTTTCTTTTACTGAAAATGACGTAGCTAACTAGCCCTAAAATGTTATTATATTTATATATAAAAAAATGTATCTTAAGAAGGGGCGTGTTGTGATATTGAGTCCAATGGCTCAGTTAATAAAGGTTGGCGATGACAGTCATTAATTGTCATATGTGTCATAGACGTTTAATTCATAGTTCAATGTCTGTATTTGATACTGAATAAATATACTTATATATCATCATCATTGTGTTATCTAGAACCCAGTCCAAGCTCTCGCAATAACATAACAGATTACAAAATGATAATCGGCGGGAAAGGGTATGCAGGGGTCCAGGCACACAAAAACGACTTACTTTCGTCTGAGAAGTTGTTCCCTATTGACGAATTAGTAATGTTTTGTGGGGTATAATGTATGGTCTTCGTACCCTTCTTATTTTAATTGAGAAAACACTAACAATAATACGCTAAATGAATTTAAAAATATATAAATTTTCAAGACGATAGCGCCACAAAGAAGAAAAAACATACTGCAAAAATGGAAAGAAAGAAAATATCCAAAGAATAAACTGGCCAGCAAACTTACCAGACATGAATCCAGTTGAAAATTTATGAGATTATCTTGGAAGAGCAATATCCAATCGTGGAAATAATACAGAATATTAAGTTATATTTTTGTCGTAACATTGTTTATTTAATAAATTGTTTTTAAATTAAAAGTAGGTATCACATATTTGGGCATTATTCGTAAATTAAATTAAAAAGTATCTGTATCACATTAGTAATTTACGTTACAAGGCCGGGCAATGGCTTATTAAAGTACGAGTAGTCAGTACATGATGGTATCAGTATTGTCTAAACAAACTATAAAATGTAGCACCAGTAATATAGGGTGATAATTTAGTATGCTTTAAATCGGTTGCTAACAGTAACAAAGAGTTTTTTTTATTGATTGTCTTGTCTGTCAGTTCAGCATCGTTTTGAATCTGTGGTTTTGAATAATTTCGAATAAAATGGATGCAGAGATTTTGAAAAAAAGTTCTGAAGCGACGGTCAAGTCTTCCGGACGATATCAAAAGGAATACGAGATATTCTGTGAATGGCGCAAAAACTTATAATCGTTCAGAAATAACCATGTGTTAGTTAAAATATACGAGTCCGGTAAAGTTACTTTACCGGCCTAGTGATGTAATGTATCATTTCCCGGACTCAAATGAGTCCGGGAAATGGCACATTAAAGTACAGTATGAAATAAAATATGTTATAATACTATTTGGGTATTTAAATTAAGAATAGAATCCATATTTTAAAAATTTAATTAAATTATTTTGTTATATGTCCAGGGGGGCAAGACTTGTGACGATGTAGTTTAACCCAAGAAAATTTGATATTTTATCCTTTACAAATACAAATGTTAATTCAAGAAACTAAAACAACCAATGTTTTAAAAATCTACTATAATAAAATAAAAAGCACCAACAATGCACGAAATAAAATTAGCGAAAAAAATGACAACGAAATTTTATCAAATAACTATTTTTTTTTCAATAGTACAATAATTTTCATGTTATAAGACTCATACGTCTATATAAAAAGACTATAATATATATATTATGATCTTGTGAGACATCAGACACATTTACAAATAATTTCATATTTTTTTACAGCACACATTCTAAAAAAATAAGTTTCTTCTTCAGGCACAAATGGCATTTAACCTATCGCTACCGCCTCGGCAGTGAATGTCGACGATTATATGTGGTTTTTCCGCCTGGTCTATAATGTACTATTTATAATTTAAAAATATATTTAAAATACAAATATTATTTCTATTCTTTAGTCTCTAATTATGTTAATTATTATATATTTTTAGTTCCAGTTAGTCTACTGACAGTTAAATTCCATACTAAAATAAATTACTAAATTCATATCAATAGTTATAGATTTGTTTTAAATATAATACCTTTCCATTTAGTATACTCCTTTAAATATATGAATTTGTTTGCGCTAAAACAAACATTTTTATGTGTGTAGATAAATTGATATTTTAACATTGTACAGTTTTAAAAGATGAACCAATTTTTAGTAGGATTTATTAAATATATTAAAAGAACGATGCAATTTTTTATTATTAGAAAGTTTTGCGAATCAGAACCGGGCAAAAAGCAAACACAGTCACTCGAGAGTATTTTGCCCTTAATAACTTTCACATGGATTTCACTCACATTTATTTATACACAGTTTTGTTTATTTTTATTCTTATTTTCAATGAAACAGAATGCATTACAAACTATAAAGTAATATTTATGTAAGCCTTAGAAAGCTGAGCTGATACTCTTGGTAAATTATATCTAATGGTAATCTAATTTGTTAAAGTTTGCAAATCTTATCCTATAATATCCTTAATAAGTACCTACCTATAATTTACAATTAATTTTTGGCTTTTGATCTTTTTTATCATTATACATTGTAAACTTATGGCCTGGTCTAAAAATACAAATATTACAAACTTGTATTCTTGAAAGTGTTATCCATTGCAGACAAGGCCGTAAGGTTATTGGGTCATTATTAATTGTAATGAACTACATTTCAATGTCAATATACCGTGTAACATAAACCTTAGTATTACTAAGTTAGTAATTAGTAGTTTTTTATATTTTACCTTTAAATTAATTATAATATTATATTATATATATATATATATATATATTAGGGTGTTTCATTTAAAACGAATTTTTTTTTTCTTGCTGACACATGAAAATTTTGTTTTTTAGGTTGAAAAAAAAAATCCCTGAAAATTTGAACCCTTAACTTTTATTCTAAGTAGGTACTTCCTTTTTAATTTTTTAGTTTTTCCATATAAAAAGCATGTATTTTTAATCATTTTTACTTTAAATTTCTATATTTTGGCTGGGTTTTGAATTATAATTTTTATCATCATAATTTCCTGCATAGTATTCACGGTTTTTGAAAGGCCCTGCATAAATTTTGTTTTTGATTTATTTACGTTGATTGTAGTA